CATCCCTTGCATAAGCAACTAAATACCATGTATAATACTCCTCCAAGTAGTGGAGCAAACCTGCCTTGTTCCAAGAGAATTATCAAAAATAGAAGTCCCTTTAAGATACTTAGCCTCATAAATTTTTGCCCATAAACCATTGTCCTTAGAATGCAATCTCCACCCAATCTTAGCAAGAAGAGCTTGATTCATACTAGCAGTCTTTTTAAACCCTAAACGTCCTTTACCTTTAGGCTTACAAGCCAAATCCCATTGATAAAGATGGATCTTATATTTCTTATCACTGCTGCCCCAAAAGAAATTACAATTAAGCCGATCTAAATCATTACAGACACTAACAGGAAGTTTAGTAGTTTGCATAGCATAAACAGGGATAAAAGCTGTAACCGCTTGAATTAAAGTAGCTCTTCCAGCTAAAGAAATGAGCTTACTCTTTGAAGAAGCCAGACGATTATGCACCTTATTAACTAAAGAACTATAAGTGTGCTTTCCGATTCTATAATGCAAAAGAAGCATTCTAGATACTTACCAAGGTCATTAGTGAGAGGAGAGCCCCAAATCAAACTTATCTCCTTAGCAACCTCTTTACAAGTGTTAGGAGAGCAGAAGACAGCAGACTTATCAAAATTGACTACTTGTCCAGTTCATTATCAACTTAACAAACGGAGCAGGCAGCCTCAATTTAAGAAGTACATACTCAACAAAATGCCAATTCAACCTGTCATAAACCTTAGAAAGGTCTATTTTCCAAGCGACAAACCATTTTTTCCCTTTAGACAACTTAAATTTATGCATTAACTCCAGTGCAATAAGGATATTATCTGTAATATGTCGTCCAGGGACAAAACTAACTTGGTTGGGACTTATGAGATTAGGAAGAGTAGGCCTTAACCTAGCCACAAGGATTTTAGAAATAACCTTGTACAGAGTAGAGCATAAGCTTATAGGCCTAAGCTGGACCATAGACTGGGGGCTTTGCACTTTAGGCACCAAAGTTATTAAAGTGTAATTCAGCTTGTCAGGGATGTTGCACTTCTTAAAAGCTTGAGTCACCATTGCAAAAATATCATCAGCACATTTATTCCATTGAGCTTGATAGAAACAAGCTGGAAACCAATCTACACCAGGAGCTTTCAAACCTCCAATCCTAAACAAACTTCGCTTAATCTCAGCCATATCAATTTTCTTCTCAAGCAACTCCAAATCAGCCGAATCAATAAAAGGGAACAACTTAGGTAATGTCAGGTCTCTATGCTCCACAATCTCTTGAGAAAACAATTGCTCAAAATATGTGTAGGGGGTTTTTTGTTCCAGCAGCCTGACAAATGGGCCTGGGCTGCTGTAAGAAGAAAACGAGTAAAATCCCCCAAATGCCTGAGTTCGAAACCAAGCTCCCAAGAGAGTTTTTAGAAAATCTGATGGGATTTTAAAAGAACACTCTCAGGATCACTTTACTAACACCCAAATAAGCGTGATGATTTCGCTAATGACTTAGCCTGAGGAGCATGTGGCATGGGAGCTAAGCTTTCACGAGTTTAGCAGTTTGAGAGAGAGAGAACATCATGTATTTCTTACAGAGGATCAAATCTAAACTAAGAACGAAGGAAAACTTAACAAGGTTTTATCTCAGGGGAAGAAGAAAACAACGGAGAAAGAGGATTGGGTGGCTTGAGTAGATTCCAGGTTGCTTGACAAAGCTTGGTCAGGCTCTGGATGGTTGATTTTTCTGGGTAGCAAAAGTCTCCTTTTATAGGCATTAAGAGCTCTAATTTTGTCTGGTCTTCCTTTTCCTTTTCTCTTGGCAGCTCCTACTTAGTCCTATTTTCGTGCAATTCTCTTATCAAGGCATATGGGAAAGGAACCATTGTGGTTCCAACAAGTTTGACGCAGCTGGACCTCCCCACAAGGGTGAGGCGCCACTTTGCTTTCTCTCAATGTTTTCAAAACAGAGCTTGTAATGGGGAAGGAGATAGGTTGAGCCTTTTATCTGATGGGTATTTGCTTTTTACCCATGAATTTCTGTTGGTTCTTGCCTTGACCCTTTGTCTGACTTGCTTGGAGTCTTATCAGGGGTGGAACACGATGACAGCTTTTGTACAAGCTGCTGGACTGGGCTTTGTGCGTGACTTTTGGGCTGCTGGCCTATTATTTCTAGTGAATTGTCGTCAAACTGCTGGAAAGGGCTTTTAACTCTATTGATGTGGGTTGGGCTAAGCATGTTGATGGGTTTTTGGTGTCTTCCTAGAGCATGGGGCAATTTTTCTCTTCTCTTTCATGCCAACCCATATGTTTGGGTTCTAGGAACGGGCTTGAGTTCCAAATCCCCCAAGTGGCTTTGAAACCTACGTTCCTTGAACCCTCAATGGGCCCCATGATTGTTTGTTTCCTTCCATACCACAACCTTCTCAGTAAGCCCCGGTTAATTTTGTGGCTTGGGTCTACTTAAGCTCGTGACGTAGCTCGCTATTAGAATGCGCATGATTTCTATGCTCGTGCTTGGGGTTTTATTATGCCGTGATAGGCTATAATTGGGCCAAGTAGCACCGAATGAGCATGTGAGCGTGATTTAGTAATATCGGTATGTTCTTGGCTCCTTCTGCACGTGCTTGTTTAGCATGATTTGTAACTTGTAGCTTGTGTTGGCGGCTCTTATAAATTCTCCTTTATCCCGATTGAGCTTATTTTGCATCCAATCACCTATATTGGGCCAAGGGTTAATTTGGGTTTAGCCCCTTGGATTTTTGGGCCTCAGCAATATGTCATAGCCAAACCTTTAATGTCTTGAGCTTCCTCAACCCAAACACCCTCATTATTCTTTAATCTCTTTATTTTATTCCTCCGTCGCCTAATAATAGTAGTAAGATGAAAGAATGGTGTTTCGATCACCTTCCTGAAGCCACTGTAATCTGGATTTTTGTTTCCAGAACATAGCCTCTTGCTCCAGCACACAATTATACTCCTCAATCAAAGAAATTTCCAAGTTACTCAAAAAAATATTTGAGCCCCTGCACAAAGCTTTTTGAATACCATTAAGACGAGCCAACAAATAGGCCTTCCGCTTCTTAAGATGTCCAAAAACATTAACATTCCAATCTTTTAGAGGCTGAACCAACTGATAAGTATTGTCCAAGGCTAAGCCAGCGGCTTGTCCCCAAACATCAGAAAAAAAAAACTCATTGAATTACTCATGTTGCATCCACATTGCTTCAAACCTAAAAGGCCTTAAGAGTGGAGAAACAACAAAACATAGGAAAAAAAACTCATTGAATTGCTCATGTTGCATCCACATTGCTTCAAACCTTAAAGGCCTTAAGTGCGGAGAAACAACAAAACGAGAGCTCAACTTAATCTTGATTGAATTGTGATCAGAAGTAATCCTAGGCAAATGCTGAACATTAGCCTCAGGATATGCAATGACACTTTTCATTATGCTTTAACATGGCTCTCCAGCTTTGCACCTAAACAGTAACTCCATCATCAGAATTTTTGGACTACGTTACTACGTATCAGCAAACCAACCAGTCATTCATGCATGAGGGTCCAAAAACTGTGCGTCTAGGAATCGTCTTTTTCATCATCATACCCTGCTACGGTATAACATTAAAGTAGGACCTATGTTATTTATTCGTATACCTGCCATTGCCATATTTTGGTTGTAGTTTATTCTTCCAACTAATAATTTTCTGAGGGAGTGTACATACACAACCTTTAATGAAAAAAGTACATTCCAAAGGCATTAAAAAGAGAAAAGAAACTTAACCTAAAGTCTATCCTCGTTACCATTCTTAATATTTGATATGTGTCCATATGCATAACCATGATTGACTTTTTTCTTTGTATTTATGAAACTATAATTATGCATATGAACGCATCTCCGGTGTTGAGAATGAGTGAGGATACATTTTGAGTTAAAATAATGATAAAAAAATGCTCTTGAAAATGGCATCTAAGTTACGAGCGATTTCCAATAAAAGAAATTAGGATCTGGAGTGGAACATTAGTACTTGGTATTTATGGAATATTAGAGAGAGCCAGGCCACACAATCGCCTTTGTTCTATCTTTTTTATGTACTTATCAACATTTTGATTTAATAATTATGTTTATACCCAATAATTGTATATATATAATGAAAGATCATTTCAAACTTATGACATAGACAAAAAGAACTGTTAAGGTAAGATCCATGATATTTTTTAAATATAAAATCTTGTTTCCATGCAGGAGGATTTGTGAGGGGGGAAATTGAGTTTTGGACTTGCATGCAAAGGGTCTATTATATATACGGAAATTAAGAGATCTTAATCGAGGGCCTAAAACCACTAATATCGATTGTGAACACCGACTGCCTGTGGTTAATGTTAGCAACAATAATCAAAATCTATATAACTATATTAGCTAGTAGATCCTGAGGCTTTTTTCCATCTTTCCCTTTTGCAATGAAAACTTTAAAGGAAATAGGCCAAGTGTCGAAGTCACTTGAAATGAGAATAAATTCAAAGTTAAGTTAGGTTAGTGTGCATTGAACTCATCATAAATATATATATATATATAATATATATCGTATAAGTAAGAAAAGGTGTGTGCCTAAGTTTTGATTAAAAGAATATAATATATAATAATCAATGTGTTTAATTCATACCCACGATTTTTTAAGCATAATTGTGGTTTTATACTTTTGCATATTAAAATAAAATAATAATGTCAAAGATTTGGGGAGTGAGGATCAAATACTTAATGTCAAAAGAGATCTTTGCTAAATTTACCGACGTCACTTCGCATAATCCAAATCTTAGAGACTACCTCAGTTATTTTCTCCTTGTTTTGGGCTCATTGTGCTGGGGAGCAAAATGGCAAAACCACAAACCCAATCAAATGTGTAGTTTATTGAAGGGTAAGCCCATCAAAACTCTCTTCTCTTTTTGTAGTTGATTTTTGATGTGTTAATTTCTCACTAACATTATCAATTGTCTGTAGTGGCATCCTTTCAAGGCTTATTCACTTGTATAAATCTCCAACATTGTTATTAAAAGCACTCAAAGTTATATCCATTTCACTACCCCTCCAAGTTAGTTCCTTCCAAACCTTTTTATCTGACTAGAGAATCAACCAAAAGCCTAACATCTATGCTATAAAAATGTTCACACAAACCAACCACAACCAACATATTATGAACAAATACAGACATCTCTCTCTCTCTCTCTCTCTCTCTCACACAGAGGTTCCCATTTCTATGCCCATGGTTCTCCTCCTCCTCCTCCCCTAGTATTTACAATCCCAAGATTTTCATTCTTCGCTGGCTTACTCAACTGAAACACCGGGTGGCTGCACAGCTTCCGCACTCCTTTCCTCAAACTTAACCAGTCTCCAGCTTCATATCCACTTCTACATCCATTTTCGGAACAATCGAGTTCATACTTAGTAGACATGCTGCTGTGTGAATTGGACTCAAGTTCATCTTCCCCGTCACTTAATACCGGAGAGCACCACAGTTTCTCATCAATGTCAGCTTTCGGGCTGTCCAAACTGGTAGTCCTGAATGAGATATCATCAACAGGTCCTTTGGGGGCACAGGTATTTAGATTCTGCCCAAAGGATTCACCCATGAATGAATACACAGTGTCACTGTTGTGGTTGGGAGATTTCGAGCTTGGTGAATGCAGTGTAGCCTCTGCAGCTGATTCCTCTCGCTCACGCAGGATTTTTAAAATCAGTGTCTTCAGGAAATTCATAACTTGCACTGCATGTATCAATGCAGTTAAAGGATCTGCCATCTGCAGCAACAATTCTAGTTTAGTCTATAGCAAAGCTTATATTTGTTTGTGAACAAAGAGGATTGTCTTATATATGGTCATTACAACCAGAATTACCGCCAGTAAAGAAAACTGAATAACAATGAAGCCCTGCTAGAATAAACTTGGCTAACACAATGAATCATTTAAACTTGGCTAAGTTTTATAAAACAATGAATCATTGTCAGATCCAAGTCATAGCCAAGGACCAACAATCTTTTGATGTTATGGATTGACTCATCTTTTAGTAGGTGGGCCTGATAAACCCCAAAATCCAGGCCTACACTTGACCTAGGTATCAGGTAATCAACAAGGTATTATTGTGGGAGGCCAACTAGGGCCTTCCATCTAAAATGTGTTGTCCTGAGTCCGGCCAACTTGGCCCACCTGGGGGGCCAAGGAACAACAACATTTCATTTCATCTTTCCAAGATACTGGTGGATATCATCCGCAGCGGTTCTTACTTTAAAGCTATAACAACCATCAGGCTTGACCATAACTCAAAATGGAGAGAGTTTCAAAGAAAAATTGAGGCAAACAACATATAGCAACCAGAGACATTTCACACGTAAAACAACAATATACAACCATTTTAAATCAAAGGCTACCAACCTCAGTCATGTTCGGTGCAAAAACCATAGCAATGTTGCGTGCATTCATCTTGTTGTGCTGTTCATTCTGCGCAACATCCGCCATCAGATTGATGGCCCAATCAAGCAGTGAAGCTTCTGTTGGAGGAAGTGTCTTCACCAGTCTTGTGCAGTCATCTTCTGTGTTGCAGCGCAGCACCTGTTCTGGTGTGAGTGGATCAAGTACCCTTGAAGGAAGCTCTCTAAACCATGCCTGCAAGGTTTAAGAAGGGGAGGAGGGGGGGAAGCACCCATTAGTAAAAGGAGGAAGAAGAAGTTGACAACCAAAAGAAAGAAAAGGAAAAGGAGCACAAACCCAAAGTTATTAAAGATAATTTAGATATCATAAATGACAGGAATGAAAGGTTTAATTCAAGAGGGTTTATTTAAGATCAGGAATTTGAAAGATTGAAGGAAAAACTGAAAGTCCACTAACATTTTTAACAACACTAAACATTCTGAAGAAGGAGCCAGTGGCTATGTATTTCAAAATGTATACAAACGCATAATAGAGGAGTTTTTCTTAGAAATGTCAAATAAGTTTACCTTTATCAAACCTGCTAAACAATGAACATCAATTCCATGCGGGACCTATTTTCAGCATTTATTCTGAATATTCCTTCTGCCTTTAAGCAGGAGGAGAATGAAATAACACCTCATGTTTTGTTAGAAGTGCAAAGAAGCATACAAGTAAAACTTGGCTACTAATTCAGAAACCAAACTTACTTTAAGGCCTCCTCCTGAATACAATCGCTTTTGCATCATAAGAAGTATTGTAGGCACACTGTTTCCTTTATTATCATAAGAACACTGCATTGACTTGGCAGAGACCCCAAACACACTTGCACTGGATGAAAAGAAGCGTATCCCATTAGTCCTTAATCAAATAGAATGGTACAGAAACATTGATGTTAGGACTCAAGGAAATGATGTAAGACATATATTCAAACTGCTGAAACAAAAACTCCCATCTGCCAGACCCACATACATGTTTCCCAAATCTACCTTCAGATAGTTTTTTAGTACAATCTACTCACGAAAACAAAAAGAATAAAAACTAACACAAACAATGCCGAAAGATCAAGTGTTTGCTACCCTATGCAAATCCATTTGCTCAATAAGATGTTTTTAACAATCTTCGCTACTGCAAACCGAACAGACCAAATGGTTTCCTTTGATAATTAGAATCACTCCACCCATCGCTATAGAAACAAAATGAAAGACAATAAATCCCTTCCATGTTACATTCCCTTATCTGCCTAAGTGCCTACCAACACTTTCAACCAAGTTCAAGGCAGAATAGCAAAAGCTATGATATGGCAGGAACCACAAATTATAAGCACTAAAAAGGTGAAACAATCTAATTAGGTCAGAATCAAATCATCTTTCCCTCTCTAAATTCCCTCCCCAAATATGAACTTAAATTAAATCAGTATCCTCAGGGGAACTCTGTTCTTGAGGAGATCAGTTAAAGCGGTAATGGTTGTGATTGTGACTAACACAAAGAAGGGGATTCACAACCTTGCTCAAGACTCAAGCCAATTGTGTTTATAAAAAATAAAAACCCATTTAAAGTAAGCCACTTGGTTAATTTGTTTTTCAGGGGAACCCAAGAGTTAGAAAGACCAATTTTGACAAGCCAACCAGACATAAAATTGCGGAGTTTCAAAAGAGAAGCCAAAACAAGACCAGAAATCACAGAAACTGATTTAGAAGTCTACAAGAGAACAACATAATTTCAATTTCATTATTAAAAGCGAAGTAGAAAGTAAGAAAAACACCCCCACAAACACACACATAAAATCCAAGTATGAATGAACTTGAATCTGTCAAAGTTTTCAAATTCAGACTACTGGTACTTCAAACCAACCCAAAGGCCCAAAATTTCCAGATAACCAAGTCAATTCATAAATTCCACAAATTCGTCCTCAACCAATTATTTTAAATTTATTAAAAATAAATAAATTAATTAAAAAGAAGGCAAAATTGCAAAAAGATCAAAGGAGCTCTCACCTGGCACTAGGCGCCTTCCTGGGGACCTCAGGCTCAAGCTCAGTGGGCAAACCCAGAAATCCATTAAACCTGTCAAATGTGACATGCGAAACATGCCTCACCTCAGTAGGAGAACTGATATCGATAGAGGAAGCCACGTCATCCCTCTCCACACTGCAAGTTATCAAAGACTTCCTCAGAGCAGCCACCAAAATGTCCAGTACAGCAAACTGGTTTTGCTGCTGGTGACCATTATGAGCATGAAAGTCTCGACTTTTATTGCTCCCATGGGCTCTACTTGTGGGATAAAGAAATGGGGTCGACATGGGATTGTTTTGAACCTCATCTTCATAACCCAAGTCCTCATATTCCAGCTCTTCCATCTCCTCTTCCTCTTCTTCATCTTCTCCATCAACGTCTTTGTTGTTATGGTGGTGGGAAAATGGGCTCGGAGGGGCAATGTTGAACTCAGTGAGTCCAACGAGATGGCAAGATTTGGA